CCACTGCTGGTGACAGCCCTCCACAATCACATCTCCATGGCGGTATCCAGGTTCTTCTGTGCTTTCTAGATGGTCAGCAAAGTAGCCGCCCAAAAGTTGCATCTTTTTTCCTGACAAAAAACTCAGTTTTCTTTCTAGCAACACATCTCTCCCTCCTTGGCTTGGCTCTGCCAGCATAGGCAGAGAACTGCATGCCGTGCCACCTGCAGTGCCTGCTCCTCTTGCAGCCACACAGGTCCTCTCTGCTGCCTTGTTTCACACAAATATTTGCATTAGCCATGTCCCATCACCATGCAGCTCCTCTGCTTCTCCCCTGTATGCCTCTCGTGTTTTGAAACAGCAGATTACATATGGTTGTATGGTTGTCTTACTTTTTGCTCACGTTTCTGACTGTCTTTTGTTCCTATTGCTACTTCTTAGATTTTTATCTGGAAATATCATTAATGAGAGATTTGCTTCTGCTTCAAGATCCTTCCTGGAAATGCTGTGCTGGAAACAACACAACCTGTTGTATCCAACCTGAATCACTGAGCAACTGTGTACATCTGTTGTTCATCTTGTGACACAGCCTTTCACCCAATCTTATTGACAGCAAAACCCCAAAAATCCTTTTGAAGCTGACCTAGGCAAGGGCATTCCATGAAGAACTGTCTCTAGGGCTTGACTGAGAGCACGTGCTCTGAACTGCCGTGTTCCTTCCATCTGCACCAATTTACCTCACAAGCAAGCAGCCAGCAAGCATGGGCGCTGCTGCAAAAACGGAGTGGAGGAGCAGAGGCAGAAAGCATGAGCTATGGGTCAGGAACACGGGCAAGGCCTCTGCTAAATTAACTGTGGACAGAAAGAAAGTGGGAACCCAGTTGCAGCTGGTTTTAGACTAACAAGGCCTCCAGGCTTTAAGACTCAGTTTAACTTCCACTGCAAGCCCCTACCATGTGTCCTTAGGAAGAGACAAGTGGTGCTGTAAGCCAAGCATGAGTGTGGCAAGCCAGGGACCTGCTGGCAAGACAGGAGATGGGGTTCCCTGCCATGCTGTGGGCTAGCTCCCATCCTCCAGTTTTCAGGTGCCAGCCTCTCATGGGGAAGCCAGGAATGTGGTTCCTGTCCTTCACCTGCCTTGTCTGCTCAGCTGGAACTACTTGGGATGTGCTGTGCCTGTAGACACAGGGGGCAGCCCTTCCTGTACCAGTTCAAATGTTCTGGATGCACCTATCAGCCAGAGGACATGGTGACAACAGCAGCAAGTGATGGAAAAGGAGACTGAGTGCCTCTCCTCACTGAACCTCCCTTCGGAGATGCAGTGTCCTTGGTGTCAGAGTGGAACTCGGCACCTCAACCTATGTGACAAGTTTTAACGGGCTGCTTTGTCCGTGCAGCTCTGGTTAGAAATACTCTTACTCAAGCCCATGTCAAAGCAAGCTGGGCCTGCTTCCAAAAACTGAGTTACTTTTGCCTTGTTAGGCTTTTACATCAAGCAGCACTTCAGCTTGTCCAGCAAGCAGGTTTCCAAGCAGACAGGAGCACCTGGAACAACCTGTTTTAATTAGCATTTTACTTATTTATGGCGCCAGCACTATGTCCAACGCCTGTGGGTTGCAGAGGAGCCACCCAACTCCCCTGCACCGACTGTGGAGAGCACTGCTGCACTGCCCTGTGGGCCAGGGCACAGAGGGAATACGTAGGGATGTGCTCACACTTGCCTGCTTTATTTCAAGGACAATCCTGGAGCTGTACAGCCCTAGTTCGGTGTGGGTCACCCAACACCACTAGCTCCAGCTGTAGCACCAATATCTCCAGCTTCTGGGTCACCTAAACATCCAAACCTGACATGAGAACCCCACAGAGCCACCACTGATCACCAGCACACAATACCAGGCAACCAGGCAACCTTACTGTAGGGAGACACTCACTCTGCTGTGCCTGCTGACCTCCAAAGCACCCATGAAACCTGAGCTGCCTCACAACACTGTCGTGGTGGACAGATGTTCCAGAATTGCTAAACTCTTTCCACAGTTTAGCATTCTCCTTGTCAAACTTATCCTATCTCCTCTTCAGCAAGGAACAACATAAATAATCTTTGGTCATCCCATCTGTTCTTGATCCTGCAGCTCTCCCTGGAGATTTGCTGCTGCCTCAATTGGGCTGCAAACTCTCTGAGCAGGAGCCAGTCTTGGTGGCTCTTGGTAAAGCCATATGCACCTCTGTGCCATCATGAATTCTGCTAAAAGGCAGCATGACCCAAGCACAAGGTCACTGCCTAAGGAAGCGATCATGAGAATTTCTGCTCAGTGAAAGCTCATCATGTGAAACAGGCCAAAAGGAGCCTCCAGCTTGCCCTGGAGAGACAATGGACTGTTCATGCCATGAGTAGGATAAAGGCAAATGAGATCTCAGGAGATGGCAGGCAAAACACTTTCAGTGTGTGCAAAAGCATGTGAAAGGAAGGATTCTCAGAGAGACCACAAGGAGGGAGAGCCCTTGCTACCGGAAGAGTTTGGCTCATAGAGCCTGGCATGAAAAAGTCTAAGTATGGATGCAATCACAGTTTATAAATACACAGGGGAAAACACCAGGGATGGAAAAGCACAATTTAAACTGAAGGGCAAAAGATCACAAAAGTAAACGGATACCAAACAGATTTACAATGGAAAGCCTCTGACCACTGAAACCATGGAACCCTCTCTCAAAGGAAGTGAGAAGAGAAGAAAACCACAAACTAGTCTTTTTTCAGAAAAGCTCATCCAATTTATGGAAGGGGCCATAAAGGGTCTGATGCTTCTGACAGCTTGAGATAGGATTTCACTGCCCACAAGGACCCCTCTTGGTCTCAAGTTTAAAGAAAAGACCAAAACTACAAGTAAGTATTTGGGATGAGCTTTTGGTTCCCCTGCTTTGTTAAAGGAGAGATGCTCAGGAGGACACACAAGACCAAGACAGTGGAAAAGCAGGAGAAGGAAGGCATAGCCTTGCACCTTGATGGCCATGCCACCCTCCCTTGCTGAACTGCTGACCTGAAGTATCTCCAGCTTCTGCAAAAGAACTTTAATTTCCAGGGCCAAGTGAAGTGCCTGAGGTAAATCCTATCCTGTCCTCTGTCAAGGTCAGATGGGCAGGGAGAAATAGCGTGGGGTTCCAAGGAGATGCTGCTCTGTAGAAAGTGCTTCTTGCCAGGGGAGACTTTGCAGGGCACAGAAATGAGCTCAGCAATCAAGCCAACAGTATCTGAGATACTTTAAAGTAGATTAGGTGCCTATCTAAAAAACAACTGCATTTCTTGTTCTCTCTCCCTCACCTGGCGCCTCTGGGAAGCCAAAATCCTGCAGTGCTTGGATGAAGGGGAAAAAAACCCACCAGACTGAGAGGCAGACAGAGAAAGATAAAATTCTGCTACAGAGATTAGCAACGGGAGAGCCTTTGTAGGTCACATCACGTCCATCATCCCTGGGCACACAGGCTGGCTCCGCTCCAGCCTCCCAGGGGCGGGGGGCACGCGTACCCCCTCGCCTGGCGCCCAGCAGCATCCCCGGCGCAGCCAACCGGCTCCCAGCGTGATGTGCTCTACTGTAAACAAGCTGAAGCAGATGGACAGACAGACAGAATGCCCGCATTAATCAAGTCCTCAGCTGTCCTGGGGCTCTCCAGCCACCCTCCGAGTCACCCGGAGGGGATATCACACACCCACCCGTTTGGGAAGGGCTGCCTCTCCACCACCACCAGCAAGCCAGGCCACCTTCCCTTTTCCTCCTTGATTCCACCTGGCCCTGCTTTAATTTTATTTTCCTAAAGCCAGCCTGCCACTTCGCCTCCCAGCTGCCATGCGCATGTCTCCCCTGCGCTCTCTCCCTGCCCTCCCTTCTCCGCTGCCGGCTCAGACCTCAATCTCTCCCCCGCCAGCTCGCTGCTGCAGCTCTCGCTCCCTTAATCCCAATGACCTTCTTGAACAAACGCGCCAGCCCCATGGGCAGCCATGGATCAGCGTCACGGGAAGAGGGAGAAACCTTCCCATGACACCCCCGTTTAGGCTCCTCTTTCCCCCTGCCCCCCTGAATTACTGAGAGCAAAACCTTACAGGGAAAGCAGGTTGGGGGGGGCTGAGAGGATAAGGGTAAAGCGCAGAGCAACATCCAGCCCTCACAGGCCCTTCAACTCACCCCAGCACGGCTTGAGCCCAGCACCTTCTGACCCACGGGGAAGCAATTCCAGGACTGCAGCATCCCCCTCCTGGGTTCCCCCTGTCACCCCACATCCTGCTGTCTCCCTGCATCCACCATAAACATACAGGCATGCAAGAGTGAGGAGACACCCCACCCTCAAAACCACCAGAGACGGAGACAGGGTCATGGTCCAACCTGACTCACCCTTTCCCTCCCCACAGAAAAAACCCCAAACCAGCCTGCTTTCACCCTATGTGGGCCTACACTCACATACATGTGCATGTATACGCCTGCATATGCCTGGACACTTATACATACAGAGATATATAAACCCAGAGACAGATCCCTCCGTCCAAACATATATATAACAGAGACATAGCCATAAATGCTATGGAAGCATATACGTACATATCTCTGTGTACAGATCCAGGCTGTGTGGAGACATATAGATGGGCACATGCATATTATATATATATGTGGATACATGCGCATACACATGCATATATAAACCAGATAATAATAAATATGCCATACATAGCAACATATGATGGTAACACATAATAACATACAATGGTATATAACATAGAGCGTAATGATTTTACGTGTGCGTGTGTGTGTGTGTGTGTGTGTGTATGTGTGTGTGTGTGTGTGTGTGTGTGTGTGTGTGTGTGTGTGTGTGTGTGTGTGCGCAGGTGTGCAGGAAGGTCAGGGTCGGGCCGGTGGCAGCCGCCCGCCCCGGAGGGAGCCCCGCGCCCCCCGCAGCCCGGCGGACCGCCCCCCGCCCTGGTGCCGGTAACGGTGCCGGTGCCGATGCCGGTGCTGCCCGCGGGGGCAGCGGGGCCTTACCCAGGAGACGAACCGCAGGATGGTCTGCGGCTGCCGGATGAAGGCCTGGGGGTCGAAGGCGCCGCCGGCTTTCCCCGCTCCGAAGGCGCCCCCGTCCATGGCGGCGCGGGGGTGGGCGGGAGGCAGGCGGGGGGCTCGGCGGGCGGTGCCGGGCTGCGCCGAGCCGAGCCGGGCTGCGCCGAGCCGCGCCGAGCCGAGCCGTGCCTGGCAGCCCGGCGGCGACGAGCCGCGCGCTCCCGCCCTCGGGGACGCGCCGCGCCGGGAGCGCGCAGCCGCCCGTTCCCCCGCCCCGCCGCCGCCCGCGGCGCACGGCGCGGACAAACGCGGGGCCCGAGGGTGCGGGGGTGCCCGGGGCGCGGGCGCTGCGGGCTGGGAACACCTCCCGTACTAAGGCAGGGCACCCACACCCCGGGGCGGGATGGGGCCGATGCCGCTCCTGGGCTCTGTGGGGCCCAGCAGCCCTAGTAGGCTGTGTCCAGAGGAGACAGAGAGCCGCCGGAGAGGCTCCCACAGAGGCCACAAAGATAATTTGGGGTCTGGAGCATCTCTTAGGCGGAGAGACTGCGGGAGCTGGGCCTGTTTAGTCTGGAGAACAGAAAACTGAGAGGGATCTCATTAATGCATATAAATATCTCAAAGGTGGGTGGATGTGCCAGACATTTTTCAGTGGTGCCCAGCAGAGCAATAAGCTAAAACACGAGAAATTTCACTTCAACGTGAGGAAGAACTTCTTTACATTCAAGGTGGCAGAGGCACTGGAACAGGCTGCCCAGGGAGGTCATGGAACCTCCCTCTCTGAGACACCTGGGTGCCTTCCCATGTCACCTGCTCTAGGTGTCCCTGCCAAAGGACTAGGTGATCTCCAGAGGTCCCTTCCAACCCCAGCAAGTCTGTCATTCTGCCCCACAGAGGGGTAAGGCTGGGCCCGTGGGCACAACCCATTATCCCTCACCAGATGTCTGCCCTGGACAAAGCTGCTCGGTGAGCCTCAGGATCCCTCTGCGGCAAAGCCCGGAGCTCTCATTTCCAACATCCACCACCCTACCCACACTGTGTCCTGGGAGAGGGTGGGAAAAGGCCCTCTGGGAACATGGGGAGTCCTGATTTTGGGGAGACCCCCTGACTCTAGGAGGCAGAGGCTGCAAGATACACACCTTGGGGTGTATCTTACTCCAGAGGCTGCAGCCTTGAGGGTAACTTGGACTTCTCCATTGCCCACATTACCACCATGGCCACTGGCACAGCCAGGAAGGGATGTGTGGGGAGAAGCCTTCCAGCCTTAGGGGCAATTCCAGCTCCTCAGCCCATGCTTCTTGGGCAGAGTAGTTGCATACCAGTGGTCTGCTGTGGCTGCTGCTGAGTCCCTGATAATCTGAAATGGAAAGCAAGCCCTTGGGTTGTGACATGGATCCCTAAGATCAGCAATGGAAGCCAAAAATGTACAAGAGCTAAAGCTGGATGTAGGAGGGAGATGGAAGAGCATTTACAGACAATCTATGGGTTCCCATTGGGAGTTCTATAAAATGAACAGCCTTTCCTCACCTTTTGTGTGGCTCCTTTTGAGGAGCAGGTTGGTGGTAGAAGATGGACATTCCTCCATCACATCCAGCCACAGAATCCTAAAACGGTTTGGGCTGGAAGGGGCCTTAAAGGATATCTAGCCCAAACCTCCCTGCAATGAGCAGGGACGTCTTCAACTAGATCAGCCTGCTCAGAGCCCTGTCCAACCTGACTTTGGATCTTTCCAGGGATGGAACACTTCTGTTTTAGGAAGATGAGCTGCAGTGCCAGCACAGCTGCATCCTCAGCTCTCCAGTTCATTCCAGCTGCAGGAATCTCCTCATGGTGTTGTGTCAAACACATTCTTATTTGTCAGGCCCAGGAGATCCTGAGGGCAAACTCTGAGTGCCCCATGTGCAGGAGGCGCCAAACCACCCAGCTCTGGGTTCCACTGATACCATTGCCTTGGGTTTGCATCCCCTTCCCTACCACAAGCTGTAGTGGATTAAGGCCCATGTTAATTATAATAAGACAGATGAAATGTCACAAAACTAAATGTTGAAACTCCATTTCAAGAAAGAAAATGAAATGAAAATTAATGAAATGAAATTTCGAAATTTCACGAAACTAAGTGACATTTTGACATTTCCTGACATGAAATTAACATAATGAAATAATATTTAATGAAATGAAATAAAATGAAACAATGAAAGGAAGCTTGATGAAATGAAACCAAATGACACGTCAAATTTTCATGACGTGAAATGAAATGTCAAAATTTCATTCATTTCATGAAATGTCGTTGAATGGAATGAAGAAAAATAACCATTATCTGTTATGACAGAAGCTCCCCCCAAGCGCCGCCAGATGGTTTGTGCCGCCTTGTTTTTCCGCGCATCGCTGCCCGCGCACCTTTCTGGATGCACTTGCCGCCCGTAGCGCCGCGCGTCCTCTCGCGAGACCGAGGTATGGGGCGCTTATAAAGGCTGCGCGCGAGGCCGGCGGCCCTTCCGGCGCGGCGCGTGGACAAGATGGTGGGTGCGGAGGGCTCGGGCCTGGCCGCGCCATCCGCGGGCATCGCCGCCATCCCGGCCAGGCCCGCCGCGCGGCCCCGCGCCCGCCGCCCCCGGCACCGGCGGCACGCCGTGCGGGGCTCATCTCGAGGCGCGGGCGAGGCGTTGCGCGGGGAGGCCGGGCGGGCCGGTGCGGTGCCGGGCGGGGCGCGGGGTTTGGGTGGTGCGGGCGGCTGTGGGGGCATTTGGGGCTCTTTTCTAGGAAGGGGGGCGGCTTCTCTGTGGTGATGGCCTTTTTGGGGTTTTAAACTTCACTTAGGGTAACTTGTGCCGAATATATATATTTTTTTATATATATATATATATATATTTAAATACTCGTGCCGGTATGTAATTTTTTTCTTAAATATAGCCGTGTTTACCTTTAGTTCCGTGTACAGCTGCACGGTGTTTTTCTTTAATTTGCTTGTGAGATTGGATGGGTAAATACTTTCTTGGACAGAGAGTTCTCCGGATGAAACCCAGTCTTTATTGGCTCTCAGGTTGCAGAGGGAGGCTACAGGGGTGGTACTCGAGCAGAAAATCCTTGGAAAAAATATTGCCCTTCCAGCCAGAGCGACTGGCTCAAAGGCTGGTGTTGAGATGCTGCTTTAGTGCAGTTTTTCAGACTGTTTCTGTAAAGTTTATTTTGGTACTGATTAATTGAAAAATAGGAAGCTGTCTGTGCTGCATTTTCTAGATGTGTGGGGTGGACTGGACTTGTGGCACGCTGTGACCAAATCACAGCTTCTGTAGTTCCCTGGCTAGAGTGGGATTTGGTGACATCTTAGACTAAGCTAAGAAGGGGCATTAAAGAAATCTGAGAAGTACATGGGGATTACGTTCCTGCAACATGATGGAATTCAGAAGCCCTGCAGGTGATAGTGGGAATTTCTGGAACACTGAATATCTTTGATATATGTAATATTCACATTCTCAGGCAAGGACAGAGCTGGCCTTGGCCCCCGAGTGGGCATAAGCAAGCCTCTGCAGCAAGCACTAAGTGTTGGTTTTCTCTCCACAGTCTCACCGCAAGTTTTCAGCCCCGAGGCATGGCTCCCTGGGCTTCCTGCCCCGCAAGCGCAGCAGCAGGCACAGGGGCAAGGTCAAGAGCTTTCCCAAAGATGACCCCAGCAAGCCTGTCCATCTCACCGCCTTCCTGGGCTACAAAGCTGGCATGACCCACATTGTCCGGGAAGTGGACAGACCTGGATCCAGTATGTATTGATGTTCCTCTTAGAACAGGAGGTGGGTTTGGTCAGGAATGGTGACAGGTGACTGCTTCATTAGCAGCTCTGGATTTTAGTCCTAGCTTGACTTCACCCCGTTCCAAGTCCAAGTAGATGGTTTCTGCTGTAACTACTGGTTTGGTTTAGCTGCACAGTAGCAGGCTCCTTGGGATGGCTCCTCTGGATGGAGGGACATCAAGTCAGCTGCCTTCAGTGTTTATTTAGAGATTATCCAGTCTTGCATGTATTATTTGTTGCCATCCATTTTGCCTATCCAGCTTGGCTGACCTGTCTCCTGAGCCAGCCTCAAAAGTTTTGCAAGGCATTTAATTATGGCTTCAGAGTTGGTTGCTTTACCCTGCATCATCTCTGTGAAAAGAGCTCGAGTCATTTAACCTTTCACATGGAGGACTTGGGAGTGAGAAGAAGCAGGTGGTTGAGAGTTGCTGCTGGAATTAATTGTGCTGTATTTCTGTTTCTGTCCAGAGGTGAACAAGAAGGAGGTGGTGGAGGCAGTCACTATTATAGAGACTCCTCCCATGGTCATTGTGGGCATCGTGGGATACGTGCAGACTCCTCGCGGTCTCCGTAGCTTCAAGACCATCTTTGCTGAGCACATCAGTGACGAATGCAAGCGCCGCTTCTACAAGAACTGGTGAGAGAGCAGGGCCTTGCCTGGTCTCAGGCCATGGGTCGTGCTTTTACTGTTGGGTTGCAGTGGTCCTAGCTTGGCTTTTTAGCCATACGTGTTAAGCTTTGACAGAGTGGCCTCATAATAGGATAGGCTGCAGGAATGGCTCCGTGAGGGTGGCAACGTAACTTTAGGTAGTGCTGGTGTGGGTGTGGTGACTTTGGGTTTGCCAGAGAGCTCCCTAACAGGCTACACGTGATGATACTTCGACGGGCGGACATAAGGAAATCGCCTCTGGCGCTTGTTGTTGAGTGTCGAGTCCTGACTGTAGCCCTGTTTTCTCAGGAAAGGGGAAGACAAGTGTCACTTGTGATTGCCATTCCAGGCGCTTTTGTTGTGATTAAAAGTGTGCATTTGCCTGAGTGTGGCTCCAGCATGTCTGGAGCTTCCAGCCTGTTTATGAACTTGGCAGGCTGAAAAGACGTCAGAGTGGAGCAATAAAGTTCTCAAGGGTGTTTTAGTAACGACTTTGCTGTTGGGCACACAAGGGGGGGAAGTTAGGGTATTTTTAAGTAGATCACAGTCATCTCACAATTGCTTTAAAGATCTGTTTTTTTTCTGTTAATTGTTTGACATCTCCTTACAGTCTTTTGTTTTCTGTAGCGTGAATGTTAATGTGCTTTGGAATTCATGGCAGCTCCGCTCAGCTTTGGCAATGTGGCCACTGTCTGATGAGCTCCAGGCTCCGCTTGCCAGTGGAAAAGAGT